GGAATTAGAACAGTCTACCCCAAGGATCGAAATAAAGGGTTCAGTTCGAAATTCCAACCACCTGAAGAAGGCCGGAGCAATACAACGGCCGAAACGTTGTGACAAATATGGCGACAAAGATGAGGACAATAGTCCGACTAATGTAAATACTGTACATAATACCTCATCTCAGAAATATAGACAAACCCTTTATTTTTAAATATTGACTAGTATGCTTTACTTTTTTAAAAGTCTGTTGTCATTATTATTGTTATTATTATTAGTAGTACTAGCAGTATTATTTGTAGTAGTAATAGTATAAGTGGTTACTAAAAAGTAGCAGTAAAATAGTAACAGTAATAAAAAGGTTACTAAAAAGTTATCAGTTCGAAGACTTCAGAAAGTCCTACTAAATGACTAAACAGCGTCCCTGATTGAAATAGGGTAGACCAGTGCTTTCCAACCGATTTTGGGCCATGCCCCACTTTAGTATTTCTAAAATTCTTGTGACCCCCCCCCACCTGTAACATTTAATTCTTACATATTCAAAATTTTACTGCAATTCACGTGAAGGTAGAATAAAAGGCCATTAACTTGGTTTCGAAACAAACCTCCAAAGACCATGGCGTCCATGAAAGAGAAAAAAAACGGTTATTATATATAGTTCCGAAAGATATAATCAGTCAGTTATGTGCCATGCGCGATACATGACTGACGACGTAGAATTTTCCCCGCAGTAGGTTGCCGTTTCTTTCGGCGGTGGACCAGTTGCCATCCGGTCTGTCCTTCTATTTACCCATAGCTGGGGGGGTGGAGAAGGGAATTCAGACCTTTCCCAGGGGTATTAGCATGTAACGGAATGTAATGGATTCAAATGGAATTCGAACTCTGCTCTCTGATTCCTCAATCCGAGCCGCTATCCATTACTCCACCGTAACCTCCACATACAGTGTAACCCGGATATAAGAGAGTTGTCGGGACCGGAGAAGAAGTCTCTTATATCCGGGTTTCTCTCATATCCGGGTTTCTCTTAAATCCGGGTTTGGTCTATTTTGTTTAGGCAAGTATGGGCTCTAATTTGGGACTAGAGAAAATCGCTCTTATATCCGGGTTTCTCTTATATCCGGGTCTCTTACATCCGGGTTACACTGTATAATCGAGAATTGAAAGGCAGAAATATAAAATATTTGAATGAAAACTTATTCTGTAATATACTTTGCTCATTTTAATCATGAAATAATGATGCAAAATGAAATTTGAGCGCCCGTTGGTATAGTAAGCCGAAGGGTGCACATCCGACGCAAAAATATAAAAAAAAATAGCACCAGTGAGTGGGGCATGGTAATATTTTGGTGTGGCATGCTTAGGATGCTTGCTATCATCCTTCAAGTTTTAGTTAATTATTATTTTGTTATGCATTAAATAAGTCTTTTACTCTTTTGGAATTACTTGTAACAAATGTTATGTTAAGCTTACATAAATTATTTTCAATTGTAATTGTGATAAAGTTTGTAAGTAGAATAATAGATTTGTTTCGTTGACTTCGTCGGAATGGTTCACTCTTCGATTGTTAAATACACGGTGTCCATAAAGTTCGTGTGCACTTTAAAAAATGTATAACTTTATTTGTATTTGCGATAGAAATAATCTGTACTCCTTGTCACATTGCCCTGCGTGTTAGAGAGTTTGAATGAAAAGTGCATAAAAGATGGATTGCTACCTAAATACACACACACACATATACAGTGTAACCCGGATATAAGAGAGTTGTCGGGACCGGAGAAGTCTCTTATATCCGGGTTTCTCTTATATCCGGGTTTGGTCTATTTTATATACATTAACACAGGCTCTAATTTGGGACCAGAGAAAATCTCTCTTATATCCGGGTTTCTTATATCCGGGTTACACTGTATATATAACGTGTCCATAAAGTTCGTGTGCACTTAAAAAAATTTATAACTTTATTTGTATTTGCGATAGATATAATCTGTAAAAAATGTTATAAAGTTTAATGTACCTAGTTTTAAGTATAGCTAAAATAAATAATGTGATTTCAGGCATTACTGTAAATCAGTTAGCAAATGTTTTCTGTGAACTGCAAAATCGTATTACCCTTTGTATTGCAAATGATGGAGGACATGTGGAAATTTAAATAAAATTTCAATAAAACATAGAGATTTACTTCTTTCTAATCCTTTTTTCCTAATCCTATATATATATATATATATATATATATATATATATATATATATATATATATATATAGGGTGTCCATAAAGTTCGTGTGCACTTTAAAAATTTATAACTTTATTTGTATTTGAGATAGGAATAATCTGTAAAAAATGTTATAAAGTTTAATGTACAGTGTAACCCGGATATAAGAGAGTTGTCGGGACCGGAGAAGAAGTCTCTTACATCCGGGTTTCTCTTATATCCGGGTTTGGTCTATTTTATATACATTAACATAGGCTCTAATTTGGGACCAGATACAATCTCTCTTATATCCGGGTTTCTCTTATATCCGGGTCTCTTATATCCGGGTTACACTGTATAACTAAAATACCTAATGTGATTTCAGGCATTACTGTAAATGAGTTGGCAAATATTTTCCGTGAACTGCAAAATCGTATTACCATTTGTATTGCTAATGATGGAGGACATGTGGAAACTTAAATAAAATGTCAATAAAACCTTAAAAAACATATAGATTTACTTCTTTCTAATCCTTTTTACAAATTATTTCTATCGCAAATACAAATAAAGTTATTATTTTTTAAAGTGCACACGAACTTTATGGACACCCTGTATTTCGCCATACTTTTTGTTTCGCGGGCTAGTGTAAAAAATAGTGAAAAATACCCGCCTAAGTTTCGTACACGCAATAAATCGATGTGTCGAAAGGACGGTTTTTCCGTTGACACCGCTATTATTCTGTATTACCTTCATGCTTGGGCTATGTTTAATTACAAGATTATAAAAATATGTAAACCAAGTCCAATGTGATATTTATTATTTACTATTTTATAAAGGAATACATGTGAAAAGAATTCATTTTTTTAAATTTACAAAATATGTAAATCATCTACAACGCAATATTTATTGTTTATCGTTTCATAAATAACTATGAAAACAAGTTTTTTTTATTCATAATTTTATAAAAATATCTATGAATTGCTGCATGAAAGAAGTGCCCTGAAAATGCATTTTACCAAATTTAGAATTACAATTACTCGTCGTTATTTGTTTGTTTAATTTTTTTGCATTTTTGACAGACATTTTTTTAATAAATTTATGAATAAAAATGTATTTTTTTATAAATTTATAAATAATAAACTTTGCATTGTAATAGTTGGTCCACATTTTTAGAATATTGTAAATATAAAATTATTCTAAGAAATGAATATTTTTGTTGTAAATTCACAAAGAACAAAG